TATCTTCGGTTTGGTACATTTCTGGCTATCGATATTTTCGGCCTTAATCCCAATAATATATTCAAAGGTTCAGATAGTTTAGGAAGTTTAGATACTAAGGTAGCAATGAGACTATTAATAATATTTAGGAAGTTTAGGTTAGTTCTAAATCCACATATTAAGTTAACAGTGCAAACTAATCCTTATAATAAAATAGTGTAATGATAAAAAAAGAATAATAAAATAGTGTTACGACAGCGGAAGTCGCGCGACGCTGGGAGCATGCGCTGGAGTTCTAGAAAGATCGGGGAACATTACGAATAATCCAGTATTTGCTAGACGCCCTCTATTACTGTATATAAGCGCGCCAGATAATTGTTTGTTTGTTTTTAATTATGCACAAAGCTACACAAGGGCTATCTGTGCTCTGCCCACCACGGGTATCGAAACCCGGTTTTTAGCGTTGTAAGTCCGCAGACATACCGCTGTGCCACTGGGGGGCTCGCCAGATAAAGCGAGACGATTAATCGGAACTGGAATAGCAGACAGAGAGATTGAAGATATAGACAGATAATCGAGTCAAGCCGTAAGTAAAGTGTGTAAATCATTGTGAATTATAGCGTGTGTTTAAGTTAAAATGACTGTGGAAATTAAGTGTATTGCAAAGTTGTATTGAGAAGAATAAACTAGTTTTATTTAAGAAAGGACTTGTAATATAATTTCTTTCGGATGAAACTTTAGCGACGGGAAATTAACAAACGACCAGAGACGTAACAGTATAGTTAACCAAAATTATGTATTAGTTCATACAAAATAATAGGATCGTTTATTTATTTATTTGCCTTTCACATCTGGTGTTTATAGAACCTAAAGAGGAGTGTAAATTGAATCATATCTGTAGTAAATATTACAAGCATAGAATAAACCGCTAAAAAAACATAATATTGTTACGTATCTGCTTGTTTGTTAATTTCCGGTAGAAATTCTTTCCGAGAAACTTTAGCGATACAAGTCCTTTCTTGGTTAAAGCAGTTTATTCTTCCTCGATACTCACTTTTATCACACAGTAATTTCACAATCAGTACGTTTCTCGTCACTTTAAACTTAACTACTTTTATAATACACGCTATAAATCACAGCGATTCACGATCTCGATAGCAAACATACACTAGCTCGAAACAGAATTGTAAATTACCCAGAATTCAATCCCGCAGGTTTATTTCTGGCAACTATTTTGATTTAAAAATAATTATTTCCGAATAAATAATTATTAATCAGGGGTGCTTGAAGATTAAGCAATCCTCCTTCATCCCGCATGTGGATTAAGAGAATGGGCTTAAATTGAGAAACAGGAAATTAATGCAGACAAGCTGTGTAAACTTAAAAAGGTAAACATAAAAGTAAAAAAGTGGAAAGTAAAAAGTGAAGAGTAGAGTAAACGGCCGATATAGGACAGATGGGCCATCAGGGCGGCGGGGATCTATAAATCCTATGCCAAGAATTTTATGTGGGGGGAAACGGTAGTACCCCGAGAAAACCCACTTTCACTGGTAACGACCAATCCGTTACCAGTGCCCGGTTAGCGAAAAGAAGTAAGTTGGGAAGGCAAAGTGAAGTCCGATCCTGGGGGTTGATTAACTTTTGAATTAGTTGTGGATTCTCCTGATGTTCGCCATGGTTTTATTGGGATACAGGTTCTGGTTACGGGATAGTTTTAAAGGAGTGAAGTCCTCGATGTCGTTGGTGAGTGGGCGGAGGGCACAGAAAGGTTCGTTGGGTAGATAGAGATCGGGGAGGTGTCAATTACTATAGCGTTGGGTGAGATTGACGACGATGGTGTAGAAAGTGGCATGGAGCTGAGAGGCGGGTTACTGGTTTGCTGATAAACGTCGTTGGTTACTGGAAAGACTGGCGGCTGGGTCTGGGTGTCTTTTTTTTTTCCTTGTAGTGGTGGTTTGGATCGACTTGTCTTATCTTTCAGGAGTGGGTGAAGTTTGAGTAACCTGGTCAAGTGTAATAGGATGGGCAGTAGAGTACTGATTGGCGGTGGTTTTCTTTTTAGTGTTGTGGAACGTGGGCTTGGGGGTGGGCTGGGAAAGGTAGGGTCGGGTGAGACTTTCGGTATGTTTTTTTTGCTTTGAACTGATAGTAATCAAGATAGCAGCCGTGGGTGAGGATGGAGTCTGCAACGTCCGCTTCCTTTTTTGCAACCACCTTCTCCACTTTTTTGGCGATCTTTTTACCTTTTTTGAATTATCGTTTTTTTTTTATCATACTGTTACGTCTCCGTTCGTTCGTTAATTTTCCGTAAATTCGTTCCGATGAAATTTTAGCAACACAAGTCCTTTCTTAAATAATACTGGTTTATTCTTTACGATACACTTAATTACAACAGTCGCTCTATAACAACGTTATAACTCACGTCTCCCCTGGCCAACAATATTCTGTCCGCATACATTCAGTTACTCATTACCTCTCCGTCGCTTCGTGGCCGGTCTTATATATACCAGACTACCCCCAATCTAGTAATCTCCCGACAATTCACGAAGGAACAGGATATTTCTAGAAGGAGGTGGCGTGATACTAGTCACGTGATCTCGCTGACGCAACACTGCCCCTCCTTAGTATTCTTCGTCCGGAACAATAGCCACTTACATTAAACCAATAACAATTAACAATAACTTAATTAAATGTACAGAATTATAAACACAAAATTACAATTCAACAAAGTCTCTTAATTTTACGGGACGTATGTTCTTCCGTACTGGTCTCCATCTCGTTGGCTTCTGCTTCATATGGGATTCATCTGCTTCATCACGAAATGTCCTATCGTCGATAATAGTCACATCAGTGGTAGTAACTTCATAAAGAGCTTCACCATTTCCCTTCTGAAAACTGAGTAGTAGTTACTTCATTTACGGTTTCACTGTTTTCTTTCTCTAAACTGGGTACAGTTTCTTCATCAACAGTATCTTTTTCAGGTGACACGTCTTCAGCAGCGTCATTTGTTCTGTTGTTCATTTCATTACAACTGAAATGTCCTGGACTGTGATAACGCCAAAGCCTGTTGGCATGCACCAACTTTGGCTTACGTCGCCGACCTCATTTTATCCAC